GGTATGGGGTGGGTGAGGCTGGGCCTGGGCCCGAGCCCGGGGATGCTGCGCTCGGGGGCGCCAGCGGCGGGGGCGCCACGGCCTCGCCCACCTCCAGCTCTGGCAGCTCCTCCCGGGGCACCGAGAGGCCACGCTCCCTCAAAAGGGGCTCCAAGCCATCAGCATCCTCGGCATCCCTGGAGAAGCGCATGAAGATGGTGTCCCAGAGTATCACGCAGCGCTTCCGGCTTTCACGGGACAAGAAGGTGGCCAAGTCGCTGGCCATCATCGTGAGCATCTTCGGGCTCTGCTGGGCCCCGTACACGCTGCTGATGATCATCCGGGCGGCCTGCCACGGCCGCTGCATCCCCGACTACTGGTACGAGACGTCCTTCTGGCTCCTGTGGGCCAACTCGGCGGTCAACCCCGTCCTCTACCCGCTGTGCCACCACAGCTTCCGCCGGGCCTTCACCAAGCTGCTCTGCCCCCAGAAGCTCAAGGTCCAACCCCACGGCTCCCTGGAGCAGTGCTGGAAGTGAGCCGGCGGCCCAGGCCCCCCCATTTGTGCCCCTTGCACCCGATCTCCTGGGCGACCCCTTCTCCCAGCCCAGCCCTCCACACGCCCCGTCTGTGGCCCACCCTGAACACAGTGGCCTCTCTTAGTCATCCGTCATGCAGTGGGGACATTGGGTGGGCTGGCTTGGGGCCTCGCTGGCTGAACTGGTGTGGGGGTGTGGGCCCCGACCTCCTCCATCCTGCTTTCCTCCCAGAGGGACGATGCAGGAGCACGGAAGTGCCGTGGCCAGTGGCGTCCACCTTTCGCACATCGCAGTGGGGCTTTCCCCAGAGCGGATGCTGCGTGTGTGCTTCAGTCCCTGCCCACGCACGTGCCCACGCACCCGCGCACCCGCACCCCCGCCCCCGTGCCGGCTGGGGACGCTGCCTCTGCTGCCTCTGCTCGCGCTTCAGCCCAGGCCCTGGCTCCTGCATCGCTCTCTCCTCCGACTCTGTCCCATGAAGTCACAAGTGCCCCGGGAACCTCGAAGCCGTTCTCTGCTTTTCCATTCTGGGTGTTTTCAGGAAGATGAAGAAGAAGAAAACACGTCTGTGAACTTGATGTTCCTTGGATGTTTAATCAAGAGAGACAAAATTGCCGAGGAGCTCAGGGCTGGATTGGCAGGTGTGGCTCCCACGCCCTCCTCCCCCTGTGCAAGCGGCTTCCGCCTGAGCTGCACCAGCTGCGCCTGCCCGCCCCGCCGGCCCAGGGCCAGGGCCCGCGGCCACGAGGCTGCTCCACTGCCCAGAGCCTGTTCCGCCCCTCCTGCTCCAGGAGAATGTCTTGGGGGTGGTTGGGTCCTGGGGGGGGGCGGGGGAGGGGGGCCGCTTCGCTGTGTCCCGTGCGCCCGTCTCAGGCACTTGCATGCCGCGCTGCCCGCGTGCCCGCTACGCTGCCCCTGCCACCCTGAAGTCACAATAAAGTGTATTTTTTTATTGGTGCTGATTCCTGAGGAGTCTGTGGGGCGGGCGGAACGCAGGGCTCCGGAGGCGCTGGGGTGAGGAGGTGAGGCGCAGGCAGTGGTGGCGCTCCCCATCACGGAGGACCAGAGGGGGAGGAGGGGGCCCTGCCGCCCAGGGCTTCTCCCCGGGAGCATGGCACCTGCAAGGCCCGCACAGGGCCCCGTACCCCTCAGGGCCAGGCGGCGGGGGGGGGAGGGGCCTGCCTGCCTGTTCAGGAGGGGCAGGTGGTGCCGAGAGGGGCTCCCCCAGCCTTGGGCACGTGCACCCACTCCAGAAGTGTGGCAGGAGCTGTGGCACAGCCTTCACCTGGAAGGCAGCTCTGGGCCTTGCACACTTCAGGGGGCGGGGCGGACACAAGCCATGCCCTGTGCATGAGCTCGGAGGGACTCAGGAAAGCAATGGTGGGAGACCAAGGGGTCCAGGGAGGGCTGCTTGGCCAGGGCTGCCGCAGGGCGGAGTGTGGAGAGGGGGGTGTGGAGAGGGCGGATGCGCAGAGCACCACCGGGGCTGTGCCTGGGGGCAGGATGCTGCTGCAGGCTGGGACAGCGGCAACAAGATGGGGGGGGGTGCCCTGCTCCACGAGGGACTAGCAGACGGTGCCCCACCCCCCTTGCAAACAGGACAGCATGCTGGCCCTGCGGCTGGACTCACCAGACCTGGCCTGACTTGCCACCTCCCCTGAGGGGCCCCGCCTCTCCTCCCTGGGGTGGGGGCGTCCTGTCAGTCCATGGCCACGCCACGGGCCAGGCCCCCTGGCTTCTCCTCAGGACAGAGCAATGTCCTGTGCACGACAGAGTTTCATGATGTCTCAGATTCCCAACCCTTCAAGGAATCCAGCCCACAAAACCCCTCCTGCTCCAGGTGCTCCACGCCCCACAGTGGGGCCGCACCTGTGTCCCTATACCCAACACTTCCCTCAACCCAAGTTCAGCCTGCCCCTCCAGCTCTCCTTCCCACTCCTGACTGTGTGTGCAAGTGTGTGCATGTGTGTGCGTGCCAGTTCTGGGGCTTGAACTCAAGGACTCAAGCTCTTGCTTAGCTTTATTGCTCAAGCCTGGCACTTACCACTGGGCTACATCTCCACTTCTAGCTTTGGCTAGTTAATGGGAGATAAGAGTCCCTCAATTTGTCTGCCCAGGCTGGCTTTGGACTGTGAGCCTCAATTCTCAGCCTCCTGACTGGCTAGGATTACAAACGTGAGTCACCAGAGCCAGACCCACTTTGGGTTTGGATTCTGTCTCCCTCTGGGGCACCACACAGGCCACTCCTTACCGGAGGGGAGGGGAAGCTTGGAGATGCTGGGCCTCACTCCGTAATTCCCACCCCAGCCCCGGGGCTGGGCCTGTCCTCAGGGCGAGAAGCCTGAGTTCTGGGCACTGAGTGTGGAAAGCAGAGGCCGCCTTCTACAGGCAGACGCGGCTCTGACCCAGAGGCCTGTGGGGAAGCCACAGTCCTGGGCTTCGCTGGCCCCACACCACCCAGCCGGGCCTCCCTGGGGGCAGGCAGGTGTCTGTCCCACAGCCCAGTGTCTGGGGAAGGACAAAGAATTGCTCGCCCCAGCAAAGGGCCCTTTCTGGCGACAGCACAGCCAGAGCCCTGGCTGCCCCGCTGCCCAGCCCCACTAAATGGCTACAAATTGGAGGATAAAAGCGCAGGCTTTCAAGCAATTTTGCCTTCAATCTCTGGAAACTGCCGCTCCCAGAGCCGCTGCGTGGGGACAGAGAAGGAGAGAAGAAAGACACGGAGCCTATTGGGCCCCACGCGTCTGCAGCAAACAAACAGCCGAGGGGCTGTCTGCCATCCCAGCCTCTCCTGCAGTCCCAGCCCTGGAGGAAACAAAGATGCAGCTGGGGCCCAGCCGCACAGCTGCTGTTTACTGAGCGCCTACTGTGTACCAGGCAGGCAGCAGGGGGCCTGCCCTGCAGCCGGAGCCACACCCACACTGGCGCTGCTGGGTCCTGTGCTGCAGCAAGCTGCTCCTGCGCGGCTGCTGGCCCGGCTCTCTGTCGCTCCTTGGAGTGGGGAACGCCACCCTGCCGCCCACTGGGCAGGCCTCGTGGAGGGGTCTCAGGGCCGGAGCCTGCCTGGGCCCCGCTGGCTGACGGGCAGGCGTTGGCTGCTTGTGTTGCTCTCCTTGCCTGCCCCGTGCTCGCTCTGGGGTGTCGCTAGGGAAGGTTCTGGGCACAGGCTGGCTGCAGGGGGGAGTGCTGTCTTCCCAGTCTGAGCGGGAGCTCCAGAGCGCCCAGGTTCTGTTCTGCACACGGGTGAGCCCAGCCCGTCCTTCTGCGAAAGGCCAGATCACGGGGAGCGAGGACTACCAGAGGGACGGCCACGTGGCCCTCCCGGTGCTCCTGTTCCCCCCGCCGCTGTGGCTGGGCCTTCCACTGGGCGTCATCAACACTCCTTCTGGGTGCCAGCCGAGGCCTCAGCCCTGAGGGGCGCCTGCCCATGGCTCTGCAGACGGAGGGCGGCAGGGATGCTGGCCCCTCTCCTGTCCCCTCTGCTGTCCTTCCCGGCACCTGCAGGAAGCCAACGCCAATGCCAGGCTTCGCCTAACCCAGCTTCTCTCTGCTCATCTCATTCTTCCTGCACCTACCGTGGGCTGGGCACCGCAGGGTGGCCAGGACTGTGCTGGGGACCAGGGCCCCCGGGGCAGTGCCAGCAGGAGGATCCCCAAAATAGGGAGCAAAGTGGGCATCTGTGAGGACTCTGGGAATCCTGGAACCAAGCCCCAGCTCTGCTCATCTCAGCATGAAGCACTTACTGAGCACCTACTGTGTGCACTCCATGGTTTGGTTGAAGAAAGGAGGCAGGAAAGCAGCCCGCTTTCTATATACCCTGCGGAGTCCCAGCGTGGAGACAGAGAAGGGAGGCATGCCAAGGGGTCATGGGCCAAGGTCACAGAAAGTACTCTTGGAAGGGCCGGGAGGACCTGGGGTGTGGGGTGTGCCCCAGCCTCACCCCAGCTCTGCTCAAGGCTTGGAGTAAAACACAGGTTTCCCAGGGGTTCCCCAGCCCTCCGCCTTCCTATTCCGGCAGGCAGGAGAGACCAGAAGGCACCCCGCACCTCAGCTTTTTCCTCCAAAGCATGGGCTCAGGCCTGTGGGCGGCCAGGCCCAGTGTGGGCCCCTAGCAGACTGCAACTCTGCAGCCCCCCTCCCGCCCCCCTCCTCCCCGGGCAGGAAGTGGCTCCTCAGCCGGTGCAGGCCTCCCTGCCATTACCCAAATTGCTCCATTGTTGGCTGTGCGGCTGTGCACCTGCTGACAGCAGACAGCGCTGCGCTAGCCTGTCATTAAGTGCCTGGGTCCCACCTCCTGCAGGCGGGAGGACCACAGAAGGCTGGGGGCAGCTGGGCACTTCCCACTGCCCCGGCCGCCAGAGGGTCACGTTCTCCCCACCGGCTCCTCCCCGCCCGCCTCACCGGTGGAGGCTAACACAGAGCTGGGGGAGGCTGGACACAAGTTCCATCTAAACAGGCCACACGTGGCTGTGTGGCCTAGGGTCCCTCGGTGCCTGGGGCCTCCTGTTCCCCCCGGAGCCGGGTGCAGGCAGGGGCCGCATGGGGGACATGTGGGGGGGATGCTGAGCAGGGCCCTTCTGCGCCTGCCTGGGAAGGATTGCCACGTGCTGGTCAGGAGGAATGTGCATGGACCACAACACCAAGGGGACACCACCTCTCAGACCCCATTCGGATCCCTGTCTCCAAACACAAATAGTCCTCCAGTAGAGAGGCTCTGGGATTTCCGTTTTGCAGATGATGCGCCTGACCAACATCACATAGGAAGATTCCCCGTTACCAATAGTCACCGTGACCCCCAACCTCATGGAGACAACTTATTTGGCACACAGTTTCAGAGACGAGAGGCCGCTGTGGCAGGGAGGGTGTGGTGGAGCGGAGGGCTCACATCACCGTCACCAGCCAGACAAGAGAGGAAGGAGGGGCAGGAGGAGCCTGGAGAGATGCAGTCCTCGAGGACACGGCTCCAGGGGCTGCCTTCCTCCATCTATTATTATTATTATTATTATTATTTGTGTATGTGGGGGGGGTGTGGGGGGTGTCTGTCTGTCGTGGGATTTGAACTCTGGGCCTGGGCACTGTCCCCCAGCTCTTCAGTGCAAGGCTAGCGCTCTACCACTTGAGCCACAGCATCACTGCTGGTTTTCTGGTGGTTTATTGGAGATCAGAGTCTCATGGACTTTCCTGCCCAGGCTGGCTTTGAATCATGATCCTCAGATCTCAGCCTCCTGAGTAGCTAGGATGACAGGTGTGAGCTATCAGCGCCCGGCTTTCTTCCTCCAGCTAGACCCAACTTCCCATCTTTTACCCGTCCAAGACTGCTATCCAGTGAGGGATGAGCCACTCATTAGGTCAGAATGACTCTTATTTTTAGGTTAGTCACTTCCTAAAAGTCTTGCAGCTGGTAACAAAGCCCTCACATTGCTCAAAAGTTTAAATTCAGTGTGACATTGTCCAAAAGAAATGTACTCTTGCTGGGCGCTGGTGGCTCATGCCTGTAATCCTAGCTACTCAGGAGGCTGAGATCTGAGGATCATGGTTCAAAGCCAGCCTGGGCAGGAAAGTCCATGAGACTCTCATCTCCAATAAACCACTCAAAAACCAGAAGTGGTGCTGTGGCTCAAGTTTAGAGCACTGGCCTTGAGCCGAAGAGCTGAGGGACAGTGCCCAGGCCCAGAGTTCAAGCCCCATGACTGACCAAAAAAAAAAAAAAAAAGAAGAAGAAATGTACTCTTTACCTGACTTATGTACATCACCTTTATAATAACAATAATTTTTGGGGGTCCAGTCATAGGGCTTGAACTCTGGGCCTAGGCACTGTCCCTCAGCTCTTCAGTTCAAGGCTAGCACTCTACCACTTGAGCCACAGCGCCACATCCAGCTTTTTTTCTTTTTGCTTATGTGGTGCTGGGGAATCGAACCCAGGGCCTCATGCATGCAAGGCAAGCGCTCTACCACTGAGCCACCTTCCCAGCCCCACAATAAAAATTTTTTAAAAGTCTAAATTCAGGGCTGAAGGCCTGGCTCAAATAGTAGAGCACCTACGTAGCAAAAGCTCCTAAGTTCAAAGCCTAGTATCATCCAGGTGGCCAAGTAACTCACACCTGTAATCCTAGCTACTCAGGAGGCTGAGATCTGAGGATTGCAAAGTCAGCCCGGACAGAAATGTCCCTGTAAAGTCTCTGTAAGACTCTTATCTCTAACCACTCAAAAACCAGAAGTGGAGCTGTGGCTCCACTTTAGCAAAAAGAACTCAGGGACAGCGGCCAGGCCCTGATGAGCTCATGAACAGCCCTGTGGCTGACCAAAAAGAAAAAAAAAAGTGCAGTATCATTAAAAAATCAAGTCCAGCCAGGCATTAGTGGTTCATGCCTGTAATACTAGCTGAGATCTGAGGGTCACAGTTCAAAGCTAGATCAGGTAGAAAAGTCTGTGAGACTCTTATCTCCAAAAAACTACTTAGAAAAAGCTAGAAGTGGTGCCATGGCTCACATGATAGAGTGCTAGCCTTGAGCATAAAGAGGCTCAGGGAAAATGTCCAGGTCCTGAGTTCAAGCCCCAGGACTGGCAAAAAATAAATAAAAATTTAAGAAGTCCAAATTCATAGTCTGCTTTGAGACTCAAGGCAAACACTTAGCTGTGAGATCCTGTTAGATATAAAATGACATACTTCCAGTACACAGTGGCCCATTCTAAAAGGGAGAACTTAGTTAGGAAGGAAGGGTGGAGCCCAAGCAAGTCCAGGACGCCTGGCGTCCTAAAACCAGTCTTAGGTTCAAAACTTCAGGGTCACACGTTAGGTTGGCCACTCACTGCTATGTTGGGGGCCACGCAATGAAGGGCGGAGAAAGATTTCTTCCTGGCATGAGCAGCCATGTAATAAATCAGTCATGTAACACATCGGCTCTCTTCAGGACACCGGCATGAGCTGTAGGTTTAAACAGACAGAATTGGAGGCAAAGGTGAGAGAGGGCTGCATGATGCATCCCAGTTTCCAGGCGCTCTTCCTCAGCCTGTGTGGTTGGAGGTGGCCAAGTGACTTGACTGTCCAGTCGTAGGATCCGGTCGGGAGCCCAGGTCACTGGCTTTGCTGCCCAGATCTGTCCTCACAGGTGGCACTGGAGCAGGCAGCCGGGACCGCACCGCTGTGTGGCATGGAGGTCCCAGAGCTCCGGTTCAGAGGCCACCGCGTCACAGTTGCGGTGCTCTGGAAGGCAACTGCCCAGAGATCCCTGCTTCCCCTCACCTGGTCTCTGGCGGGACCTTGGGCCCCGATGAGGAGCTGCCAAGGTCTGCTGAACCACGTGTTCAAGATCCATGCCACCCCTCAGGGTGCATGCTGTGTGCATACTCGTATTCAGTGCAAGCCTGGTTTTCTGCTATGGTGGAATATGCACACTTTTAGGCGCCTGCTCTATCTGCTGCAGTCAAGTTCACGGTGGAATATGCACACTTTTCGGCTCTATCTGCTCCAGTCAAGCCCAAGGTGTGGCATAGCCACCACCACGTCCTTCTGCCCATTGTGCACCGGGTCCTAGCGGGCTCTCCCTGCGCAGCCGCAGCTCACCTCCGAAGACACGCCCATCCTCCTGCCCTCGCGGGCCCTCTGCCTGTGGCGGAGGAACCCAGCGTCTCTCCAGCTCCAGTATGGTACTTCATGAATGCCACATAAACAAGCACAGCAGGCCACCTGCAGCCGCTGCCGTGCTGCTCGCCCAGCTCCCAGCCGCCCGCAGAACACAGCTCGCTGAGCTCATTCCCGCTGCTGTCTAGCGGCGCCTCCCTCTTGCCTCCAGCTGTGTCCCAGCCGTTGGACATCTTAGCACATGCTCAGCACGTGTGTGTGAGAGCAGGGGGCACCGTCCTCAGCGTGGCCTGGCCCTGCACGGTGAGCCTGGGCCACGGTGGTCTCACAGGCCAGGCTCAGGGGGCACGCAGCCACATCGGTGCCTGCGCTGCGAGGGGCCACGTGGCGGGCTGGCTTTGGCTCCGCAGCTAGGAGCACCCATGGGGTGTCTGGGAAGGGCATTTGGTCACAAGCTCAGCATCAGGAGGCTGTGGCCTGGGCGTGCCCTCAGTGTACCCGGGGACCCGTGGGCAAGGCAGCAAGGGCCGGGAGGCAGAGCTGTGAGTGTATAAAAGTGGGGGGGGATTCACCACAAGCGGGCTGGGCAGCGGCCATGTGGGGTCCAGCATGGACGGTGCGCAGGCACTGGCTAGATGGCTGGGCTCTGGGTGGCTCTGGGGCAGAGAGAAGTAGAAGACTCATGGCTGTCACCCGGTGCAAGTCACAGTATACACACCACGTGAGAACGAAGAGGCAGGGCAGAGCTGAGTAACACCCCCAAATCCTCGTCCTTCCAAAACTTCAGGAGTAAGCCCCATTGGTCCAAGTGGCCGGATAAGGACCTGGACAGAGAGTGGCTCTAATGGCTGGCACACTTAGGAAGAGGCTGAGCCACCACAGGGGTTTGGCCAGTTAGAGGCCCACCTGGGATAAAGCAAGACCTGCTCTCAAAAGAAGGGGGGGGGACAACAGATGGGCATGGAGGGAGATTGTACAGAAAGTGAGTCAGCCACAAGCCAAGGGGTCCAGGCCGCCAGACGCTGGGCAAGACAGAAAGAACCCTGAAAGCTGGGGACGGGAATGTGTCGCTGGGGCTCCGGAGGGAGAGACAGCTTCTGCTGTTTCATGCTTGGACGGCCTCTCCACCTCCACCAGGGAGCCAGCTAGGCGCGACCTTGGGTCTGGAGAGCAGACGGAGAGCCGCAAGGTCTTCCCAGGCCTTGGGGGTGCCGCCCCACAGGGCAGGGCCCGCGGAGGGCACCCGGACGCCCAGGATGGGAGGCAGGGCCCACTCCCCAGGAGCAGCCATGCCGCTGCAGCTGCCGGGCAGCCGGATCACAAGCCCCGGCTCACTCGGCAGCACATGTGTTAAACCAGGAACCGTGGACTGGCTCCCGCTGCGGAGGTCAGGGGACTCTCCTGATGTGGGCCAGGATCTCAGTTCTCTGGAGCCCTGTAGGCCCCTTGCTTTCCCCGGCCTTTCATAGAAGTCCCTGGAAACACAGCAAGTGTGTTTTCCTCTGTATCCATCCACAGGAAAGGAATAGTACGTGTGGACCTCTAGGCACCAAGACAAGGGAAAGTGGACAAGAGCCCCTAAACCTAGAACAAATCATGTTAAGTGAGGTAAGGCAAGCTCAGAGACACAAACAGTGGGTGTTTTCTCTCCTATGTGGAAGCTAGATCTAAAATACACTGGGACATGATCAACTGCACAGGAATTCACACCCCGTGAGACCAAAGGAAGATGCTCCTAGGAGAGCATCACAAAGGAGCAAGGCCTCTGTGCCTCTAATCATATAAAATAATACTTATTGAGGGCTGGGAAGGTGGCTCGGTGGTAGCGAGCTTGCCTTGCATGCATGAGGCCCTCGGTTCGATTCCTCAGCACCACATAAGCAGAAAAAGCCAGAAGTGGGGCTGAGTGAGGCTCAGGTGGTAGAGCACTGGTCTATAGCTGAAGAGCTGGGGGACAGCGCCCAGGCCCAGAGTTCAGGCCCACAACTGACAAAAAAAAAAATATATATATATATATATTTTTATTGAAATGAACTCCAGGAAATGGAAATAAGAGGTTTTTTCTTTGCTTTGTTGGTTGTGAGGCTTGAACTCAGAGTATGAGCCCTTTCCCTGAGCTTTTTTGCTCAAGGCTAATGCTCTACCACTTTGAGCCACAACTCCATTTCTGGTTTCTGGTGGTTCATTGGAGATAAAAGTCTCACAGATAGCTGTGTGCCAGTGGCTCATGCCAGCTCGAGCAGGAAAGTCCATGAGACTCTTATCTCCAATGAACCACCAAAAAACCAGAAGTAGTGCTGTGGTTCAAGTGGTAGAGCGCTCACCTTGCTCTGAAGAGCTGAGGTACAGTGCTCAGGCCCAGAGTTCAAGCCCCATGACCAACAGAAAAAAAAAGTCCTTCTCTAGCTGGCTTTGAACTGTGATCCTCAGATCTCAGCCTCCTGAGTAGATGGGATTACAGGCGTGAGCCACCAGTGCCCAGCATTGCTTTTGTTTTCTTTTTTTTGTTTTGTTTATCTGTCTTGGAGAGAAGAAGGAAGGCACAGAAATGGAGGGACAAAGGGTGAACAAATATAGCAGCGGTACTAGACACTATGTAGAAAATGAACTATATAACTTGTAGGCGGGGACAGGAGGGAAAAACTGGGAGAGAGCCAGGGAAGGGATAACATTGTCCAAAAAGAAATGTACTCATTACCTGACTCATGTAACATCGCCTTTATAATAACAATTTTAAAAAGAACCCCAGCAAGCTCGGAGCCGAGCTGGTAGTAGCTGTGAAGTGCTGAGAGCAAAGCCCGCCCTGTGTCCTGGCACCTAGTTAGACCTGAGGCTCAGTTCCTAGAGCAGGTGGCGGGATCTGCAGTGAAGACTCCAGCCTGAGGAAAGCAGAGGGCAGCATGCTTAGAGACACCCTTATTCTGGGCCCAGGCCCCTTGCTTCAGCCCTGCATCCAGAAAACCCAGGCGGATGGCCTCTCCCAGCAGATGGCCCACAGAACCACTGGATGCTGACTACCCACAGGGCGGATGCACTTAGCCTGGAGATCCAGCAGCCCCCGGCTGGGGCAGCAAGACCCCACAGGCCAGGGCTTGTTGCTGGAAGGCAGCTGCGTGCTACCTGCCAGGTACTGACCTGCATCCGGAGAGAAAAGCCACCAAAGGAGGCCGGCCTGCTGAGGGCCTATGGGGACAGATGTTGCAGGGCCCAGAAAAACTGCCGACGCAGACTGCAGGCAGCACAGCCCTCAGGCCACTGTGCCGAGTGGGGGTGCTGGCCCACCACGGGACAGGTCAGCCATGTCCCAGATGGGCACTAGAAAGACATCTCTGTGGAAATGGCCTGGAGAACGGGCAGCACCGCTGCTCACAGGAGGCGGGCAGCGTCGCCGCTCAGGGCTGCAAGCACCACTTGACTTTACAGCCTCTGAGGAAGAGACGTGAACGTACCCAGAATCTGTTACGGTGCCTCGTTCGTTCCACAAAGACCTGTTGCATTTCTTGGGGTCAGGTTCTCTGAGGCCACTGGGGACAGCCCGGAAGCAAAGCCATACTGGCGGGTCCCAGTCCCCGTTGCCTATGGCCGTCCCTGAGTTGGGAAGGCAGGAGGCACGCCCGCGTGGGGGGCAGGGGATGGGCAGGTGGGGTTTCCCTCTCGGAAACTCGCTAGGTGGGCAGGGGGTGCTGCACCTCCCGAGTTGTACCCCCCATTGGTCCGTTTTAGAAGGGAGACTTCATCACGTGGGAGGCCCTCAACCTGGAACCCACGGGTGGCAACTCCCTAAGCTGAGGCAGCCGGAGACACAGCTTTCCTTCGTGGTGCTTGCGGCTGTAGACCACGCTCAGCTCACGGATGGGCGCGGCGCTCCTGTCACTGGCTGTGTCCGCCCCTCGGAGACCTCGGTGGCGGGTGTGGTGAGGAGATCGCAGGCAGGGGCTGGTGAGTCCAGGACACCACCGCGACCTGGACCTGCGTGTCAGGAGGCAGGGCGGCCGCGGCAGCTGGGGGTGGGCAGGGCGGGCTAGGGTCAGGCGGGCGGGCTGAGTGCCCCCTCCCCAGAGCACGGGGCGCACAAAGATGAAAGCGGGGGATAATTAATGCTCTCAGGCCTGGCTTGACTACAAACCCTTTGTGGCGGCCTGAAAGAGAAAGCAATAGACGCCAGACCCACCCCGGCCTCCGGAACACCAGGACCTTTGAAATCAGAAGACATTAAAATAAAGCTCGGGGTAAAAGGACCTGGTGTTCTAGTTGCAGATTTGATGTTAGATCAAAACTGGATTGCTCCTGAGAGCTGAGGCGCTGGCTTATTATTTGAGGTAGCCCAAGCTCAGCACACACAAGGACCAGCCTCCTGGGGCGTGCCTGGTGGCAGCTTGCCCAAGACCCCGGTGGCCAGCTTTCCCTGTGGCCCGCGTCTCCCCAAAGGTGGAGGGTCTCCGTTTGCACCTGCACCCTCCACCTCATTTCTGAAGGCCCTCAGGGACCACAGAGGACCAGGCTGGGGGTGGGGGGGGTAAGAGGGTGCAGGTATTCTTGTCCAACGCTACCTGTGGCCACCCAGGCACTGGGTACAAATCCCTGAGCTCTGCCAGGGACAGAGTCCCTTCCAGGGAGCCCAGTGTTGGGTGAAGCACGCTGGCTCCAGGCTGCAGCTCCCTGGGGAGGAAGGCTAGCATCCTCCCTGGGGGCTGGGGGCTGGGGTGGGGTCTGAGAAGCAGGTAGAAGGAGGAGAGCAACCTCCACCAGGGACGTGTCTCCCGCACCCTCACCCTGCCCGGATTCACGGCTCATGTCAGCTTCAGTTAACAACCCGCTCCCACAGGCCTAAGCGGAGCCAGGAGCTGCGCCTGCCTGGGTCGGATATTGGGTGCACTGAGTCGTGAAGCCCTGAGGCTGCTTTGGCCTTCAGCTCCCGAGCTCAGCTCAGTCGGCGTTCTTGGAAGGAGTTAGTCCTCACCGTTCCTCCCACTGGTGCCCGGGGAAATCGTGCCAAGGTGCCCACGGCACCGACCGGCACCAAGAAGCTGGTACTTGGCTGCTGCTCTGCTGGGCTGTGCCCGCGTGGGGATCAAAGGCTGAATTGCCAAAAGCATTAATGTGCTGGCGAGCCCAGGTCTGGCCTCTTCCGCTGCGCTCGTCCAGGCCTGCGCTGTATAGCGGCAGCGGCGGTGGCGGCAGCAGCAGCAGCAGCGCTTGCTAACCTCAGCCAGCAGCCTGGTCCTCCTCCTAATTAGAGGTGTTAATTAGCACAAATGAGTCAACCTCAGCAAATTAGTCAGCGAGGCCGACAGGTATGCAGAGCACTTGGGAACAGACCGGGTGTCAGGCACTGGGAATGTTTTGCCACCTGAAGGAACCCTCGGCCACGGCGGGTGGGGGGGGCAGGACACTTTGCCAGGGGAGCCCCAAGTCGGTGGGAAGTCAGAAACACCAACACTCTCGAATGTTTACAAGCACTTTTTATGCATTCGAGGCCGCCCACGTCTTAGGTCTGCCGTGCCTTCTGCACAAGCTGGCCAGCCCTGCGCCAGCCTCTGGCCCCAGGTTCTACCCCCGGAGAGGCCGGCGGCCCTGCCCCAGCCCTGCCTCCAAGTGGGTGCCGTGCAGCTCTTTCAGCCGCAGCAGCAGCTGCTCCAGGTTCTCCCCGGTCAGGGCCGACAGGGCGATGACCTCCTGCCCCAGGCGGGCTTGGAGCTTTGCCAGATGGGCTCGGGCCTGCGGGAGGTCAATCTTATTTGCAATGATCTGGTGAGGTCTCGTGGACAGGCCTTCTTGGTACTTCTCGAGTTCATACTTCAAGTCCTCAACCTGAGTCCACGGCTCTGGCAGAGAAAGATCCACCACGAACAGGAGGAAGAGGCAGCGCTCGATGTGCCGCAGGAAGCTGAGCCCCAGGCCCTTGTTTCGGTGGGCGCCTCGGATGATGCCTGGGATGTCGGCCACTGTGGGACACCAGAGTGCACAATCATGGCCAGGGCTGGCTCCTTGATGACCCTAAGCCGGGGGCGGAGGGGAGAGGCCCAGCCCCCTCCACGCCGATCCCTGCGTTCCCCAGACCCTCATCTTCAGCAACTCCTCCACCCTGGGTGACTTAGCACCTCAGCCTGCGGTGTACAAAGGCTCTGGGGTACTCGGATCAGGCTAATGAGGAATACTGAACACCCGCCTGTCTTCTGGCTTCAAACAGGATTCAAAAAGGGGAAATGGCTTCCTGCACTCTATGAATAATTTGATTACCGATAAAAATCATTATAGAGTACTTTGCAAATATAAAGTGCTATACAAATAACCTTACCAGCAGGCTTACTATTTTTAATGGGTACATTATCTTCTGGAAAAAAGTTTTCTTCTCTCAAAATGGTGCAGGGAAAGCTTTTTAAATCGCATGCAGTCTGCGTGGCCGAGGCTGCTCAACCCCAAGACGAGCAGAACCTGCGGGAGGAGCAGCCCCTCCCAGGGCTCGGCATCGGAGCTCCTGTTTCTGAGACGAAGCTAAGGGTTCCTGTGTGGGGGTGGGGGCTCCGAACTTTGATACAGATCGACTAAAATACTTTCAATAAGGAAAACACACCACATTTTAAGCAGGAAGCTGAAGTCAGGAGTTACATAACGACTCCCCTGCTTCCCTCTGGGATTCTGGGAGCTCTACCTGCTAACTGCTGGTGATCTTCGTAGTGGACGATCCCCACGTGGGGCTTCAAGGTGGTGAAGGGATAGGAAGCCACGGCAGGCTTCGCGTTCGAGATGGCTCGGAGCAGTGAGGACTTGCCTGCATTGGGGAACCCAACCTGCAAGGCAAAGCAAAGGGGGCGCCTGCGTGAGCCAGCCGGCTGGGGGCGGGGCTGGGGGCTAATAGGGCACACGAGCCCGTGTGCCAGCCTCAGCACCCACGATGGCGACTGGAGGGGTGAGCACACAGCTGCAGGGGCTGGACCCACCATGCCAGCGTGGGCCACGGTCTTGAGCTCCAGAGAGAGAACGCGCTCCTGGCCCGGCTGTCCTGGGGTGCACGTCACAGGAGCGCGGTTGTCATTGGCCAGGAAGAAGCGGTTGCCTTTCCCCCCTGGCCCGCCCAGGGCAGCGATGTACTCCTCTCCCGGGCTTGACAGGTCGGCCACGACTTCTCTCCCCTCCTTCACCAGCGTGCCCACGGGGACCTGGAGAGCGGCAAGTCATGGGGGGCCAGGGAGGGCAGGGTGGGGTACCACAGCCCCTTTCCTCTCAAGCACAGCAGGTCTTAGGGGTGCTCGCCCTGTACAACACACTCCATGTATCGTTCCCCAGATGCGAAGTTGGCCAGGTGTCGTGACACTGACATATAACCCCAGCGTGATTGGGAGGTAGAAGCAGGAAGACCCAAAGTTGAAGTTCAGCTGGGCTACATAGCATGGCTACCTGAAAACAAAGACTAACCTGCCCAGGTGGCTTTTTCAGTGTTTCTAAAACTTGGAGCTCAACAGGAGCATTGGGGAAAAGAGCCCTCACAGGGCAGGAGTGCATGGGCACCAGTGCAGCACCCCAAGACCTCACGGGGTCAGGCGCACCCCAGGACAGGAGCGCCCATGCCTCCCACACCTGGCTTACCTGAACGTACAGCACGGCACCACCCCGGCCAGAGCAGTTGTTGCTGCCACCATCTTCTCCAGCAAAACCCCTGTACTGGGACAGCACTGAGGACAGGGACTTGACCTGCTGGTCAACTAGAGCGAGAGCAGGAGCTTTCAGGGCCTTTGTGTTAACACAGAGCCTATCACCCACTACTCAGGAGGCTGAGATACGAGTTTGAAGCCGGCCTAGGCAGGGAAGTCTGTGAGACTCATCTCCAACTAAGCACCCCAAATCCCAAAGTGGAGCTGTGGCTCAAGTTGGAGAGGCTAGCCTGGAGCACAAAGGATCAGGAACAATACCCAGGCCCTGAGTCCAAGTCCCAGAATCAGCCCACATGCAAACACGTACACGTGTGCATGTCATACATTTGTGCGCGCACACGTGCACACAAATGCTCAAAGCAGAACCAGAATCTTAAGAATCCTCAACTGTGTGTGGAGATGTGGAATTGAGCTGTAGCAGAGATTTCCAACTAGCAATGTGATTTTAGAGAAAGGTAAGTTCTTTCCTTCAGAAAACACTGTCATTTCTGAAGAGTTTGAAGTCACTCACAATGCCATCAATTAAAAAATAGCAGTGCTGAGTTTGGTGGTGCATACCTGTAACCCAGCCCTGGGGAGGCTAAGGCAAGAGGATTTTGAGGTTCAGGGCCAGTGTTGGCTTCACAGCCAGACCCTGTCTCAAAAGTGGAACCAAGCCAGATGCCAGTGGCTCACACCTGTAATCCCAGCTACTCAGGAGGCTGAGATCTGAGGATCACAGTTCAAAGTCAGTCTGGGCAAGAAAGTCCATGAGACTCATCTCCAATTAACCACCAGAAAACCAGAAGTGGTGCTGTGGCTCACGTGGCAGAGCACTTTTCTTGAGCTGAAGAGCTCAGGGACAGTACCCAGGCCCAGAGTTCAAGCCCCACAAAATCAGAACAGAGTAAAACAAAATGCAGTATGTTTTTGCTATATTGTACTGTGAACGCGTCTGCTCCCACCTCACTTAGCACGTGAGGCTGAACGTGTGCCGAGCGCAGTGCGGGGCCTCGCAGCGCTCGCTGGGATGGTAACTGAAAGTCTCGCCCTGTGACGTCTCACACCACGTTAGGTTTCTACAAGGAATCTTTTGTTTTCCTGAGACTGAGACACAAGGGCGCATGTTTTCTCTCATATGCAGAAGCTAGATCTAATAATCACAGAAACACGATCAATGATACAGGTCTCCAGACGTTCATGCACAGTGAGACCAAAGGAGGATCCAAGGCGGGGAGAGGATACATGAAGGCGCAAGGCCTCTGTGCTCTGATCACATAAATTAACATTTATCGAGATGAACTCCAGGAAATAGAAACAAGGTTTTCTTCTTGGTGATTTTTTTGTTTGTTTGTTTTTTTGGGTCCGGTCATGGGGCCTGAACTCTGGGCCTGGGCGCTGTCCCTCAGCTCTTCAGCTCAAGGCTAGCACTCTACCACTTGAGCCACACCGCCACTTCCGGCTTTTTTCTTTTTGCTTATGTGATGCTGAGGAATCGAACCCAGGGCCTCAGGCATGCAAGGCAAGTGCTCTACCACTGAGCCACCTTCCCAGCCCCTTCTTGGTGATTTTTTTTGTTTTTTGGTCTGATTTGATTATCTGTCTTTGGGAGGGGAAGGGGGCACAGAAATGGAGGGATAAAGGATGAACAAATGCAGTACTCACTAGACACTGTGTTGAAAATGAACTATACAATTTGTGGGTAGGGACGAGAGGGAAAAACTGGGAGAGAACGAGGGAAGGGGTCACACTGTCCAAAAAGGAATGTACTTGTTACCTGACGTATGAAACTGTAACTGCTTTGTATAGCACCTTTATAATAACGTTGTTTTTTTTTTTTAACAAAAACCCAAACAACTCTTGAAAGCATTCAAAGTTGTAGTTACTTACTTTTGTGCTGTTTACGAACATCCAGTTACAAAAATGGAATCTACACATCAAACTATGGTGTGCATGTCGTACTGGGGCTTGAGCTCAGGGTCTCGGTATGTCTCTGAGTGTTTCCTGTCAAAGCTAGTGAAAAAGCTGAAGCTCTACTTCTGGCTTTTTTGATGGTTAATTGGAGATAACAGGCTTGCCTGCCTAGGCTGGCTTCAAGCCCTGATCCTCAGAGCTCAGCCTCCTGAGCAGCTAGGATTACAGAGGTGTGCGGTTTTTAATGCAGAAGTACATCAGGGCAAGAAGGTACAGCTGGGATGTGTGCAGGCTCCTCCCCCGCTGTCCCCAGGGTACGTGCCTCTCAGGATGACGTGGCCACCATTGCCGCCATCCCCACCATCGGGGCCTCCGAACTCCTTGCGGGGCTCACTGTGGAAGCAGCTGGCACCAGAGCCTCCATTTCCTCCACGGACAAACACTCTGCGCTGGTCCACGAAGTGTCTTTTCTACAGAGAGCACAGGGTACCATCTGAACCCCCAACAGAACACACAGCCATTTGAAATATGTCTTCTTCTATTAAACTCAGAAGCTCATGCTAATTACTGATCTTGACTAAAACCCAAAGATACAAACAGTGGGCGTTACATGGTGAGTTGGAAGCTAGCATGGGCTGCATAGCCAGACAATCTCTACAAACAGAAAGGCACTAAAATTGCAGGCTGAATGGCATGGGTGCAGACACAAAGTGGGGCTGGTAGAGAAAACATACTTCAAGAGGCTGGGAAGGTGGCTCAGTGGTAGAGTGTTCACATAGCATGCATGAAGCCCTGGGTTCGATTCCTCAGTACAAAATACACAGAAAAAGCTGGAAGCTGTGCAGTGGCTCACGTGGTAGAGTGCTAGTCTTGGGCAAAAGAAGCTCAGGGACAGTGCCCAGTCCCTAAGTTCAAGCCCCAGGACTGGCAAAAAACAAAACAAAACAAAACAAAAACCTCAAGAAGGGCGTGGCATTTCTAACTGGAAGGAACTTGGCCTGTTTGGCAAGCCCTCTTTGAACAGGGTGAGCATCTACCTGCTTTCAACTAGAAACACACTGCTAAAAATACAGGCCTGTCTTTACTAACGGCAGGGTGTAACGGAGCGTGGCGGGGCTGAGGCAATCCCCATGCTTTCCACGATGGACAAAGAACCTTTTCTGTGGCCTGACACACTAGCGCTCCGCGGTTAAGCGCAGCACAGCAGACAGAGTCTTTCTAAGCTCAGGTTTATTTTGGTGGTCCTGGGGCTTGAACTCAGGGCCTGTGTTTGCTAGGCAGCTCTCTCCCATTTGCACCATGCTTCTTTTCTAGCTGAAAGTCCTGCTTAGAGATTTCTTCTCAGGCTCTGAAAGCAGGCACAAGCCAGCTAAAGAATCAGAACCTATTACTAAATAAGTATTGCCAGGTGCTGGTGGCTCACGCCTGTCATCCTAGCTAGTCAGGAGGCTGAGATCTGAGGATCAAGGTTCAAAGCCAGCCTGGGTAGGAAAGTCTGTGAGACTCTTATCTCCAATAAACCACCAGAAAACCGAAGTGGTGCTGTGGCTCAAGTGGTAGAGTGCTTGCCTTGAGCTGAAGAGCTCAGGGACAGCACCCAGGCCCTGAGTTCAAGCCCCATGATCGACTAAATAAATAAAAATTTTAAAAAAATTAAAAAAAATAAGCCAGGTGCTGGTGGCTCATACCTGTAATCCTAGCTACTCAGGAGGCTGAGATCTGAGGATCAAGGTTCAAAGCCAGCCGGGGCAGGAAAGTCTGTGAGACTCTTATCTCCATCTTTTTTTTTTTTTTTTTCAGTCGTGGGGCTTGAATTCTGGGTCTGGGCCCTGTCCCTTAGCTCTTCAGCTCAAGGCTAGCACTTTACCACTTGAGCCACAGTGCCACTTCTGGCTTTTTCCTGTTTATGTGGTGCTGAGAAATTGAACCCAGGTCCTCATGTATGCTAGGCAAGCACCCTACCACTAAGCCACCTTCCCAGCAAGACTCTTTTTTTT